CTGGCTGGCCCCCAATCTTCTCCCCATCCCTGTGAGGAGCCCCATCCACCTGTGGCACTTCCTCAGCTCTCCAGTCACTAAGCATTGGGTTCTTTAGGCATGTTGAAAATTAACCCTCGTACCTGCTGCATGAGCGGTCACACATCTTCGTCACAGACATCCCGTGTATAAACAAATCTGATCCAAAATGGGTCCCACACGGCACAGGGACGAGACCTATCTTCCACTTCCTCCAACTCACAACAAGCCAGCCTGGCGTGTGACAGCACCGAGCCCTGAGCCAGTCACAGGTGCCTGGTCCTCAGGCCCCATGCCGAAAAGTTAACACAAGATCTTGGGTTGGGGGAAAGTTGTTCAAGATAGCAAATGCAGAAAAACAGAACTAAACACACAAAACTGTCCAACAATAGGTGTTTAATTCTAGTGGTTCCTCCACCAAAAACCATCTTTGAATGCTGGAGCACTTTAGTTTCCACACAATGAAAACAGTTTTGTGATCGGTCAATACAGGAAGCTCAACTGCGTATCTTTCCTTTCGTAGCTTTGATCCTTTAAACACAATGGAGCACCTTACATTGGAACACCACTTTAGAGTGTTCCAGAATTACTGGACTGCAGTTGTAATCCACAAATATGACCCTTAGAGGTCTCAGCAAAATAGGAGAAGCTACAACAGGCCTGAGGCCACACAAGCAGCCCACAAAGCCCTTGCCATCATAATGGTATCTTGCATCAGTTCAATACTGAATTTCATTCATGCCTCAAAACAACTTTGAGTGAAAAGCACAATGCATGTATTATGGATACTGCAAAAGTCTCCCAAGGCTGGGCACTCGCAAAGGCCCCAAGGATTAGCAACACGGCCAGGTCAGAACTGAGCTCGCTCCTGTTCTTCCAAATCCCATCATCTCTTCCCACCTCACTCTGACTTCCTGATAGAACTAAAGCGCCTCACCCAGCCAGGCCAGAACGCAGGCAGGAGAAAATCAAGCATGATAAAGCTCCTGGGGAGGAGGAACGCCTGCCAACAAAGACAGGCAGAGCGGCTGGAAGCCTGAGACACTGGGTCTGACAGGGAGTTTGAGTTTAGAAATGTGCAGAAGAGGAGGACGGGAACTGAGGCAGGAGGGTGCCTCCTTCCCAAGGTACCCACATCTGAAGCAGTCACAGGGAGAAAGCAGGCAGCTGGCTCCGGCAGCAGACCCTGCCCGACTGCAGATGGTCCAAAGCACCGAAAGAGAATTTCAGCACAGAATCAGGCTGTCCACTCTACCAGATCAACTTCCAGCCTCTGCTGTCCCCTGGCCTCCCCCAGAACTGGCTGGTACTGCCCAGTTCCGCACTCGGGCCTGCCTGCCCTCTGAGCATGAGGCTCTGTGCTAGGTTCTAGGAAGGAGACAACTGTGAATGCAGCTCTGTTCCAGCTCTGAGACTTGGAGGAAGGAGGAGTGGGGAACCAAGCGTGTGCGGAAAGGAAGGAGGCTCCTGGGCTTCATTCATTCACTCTCCGATAATAGCACCAGGGTCTAGCATGTGCCAGGCGCTATTCTAGCTATGGTAATGCAGAGGTGAACCAAGGCTTTACACTGAGCAGTAGGAGAAAAACAGTAAACAAGCAAGTACTGTATAGAAGCGACACACTGAATGCTAAGTACAAAGGAGCAGCACAAAGAGGGGTTAACAGCAAGGAGGCAGAGATGCTAATTTATGGAGAGTGATCCTGAGCGCAGATCAACAGAGAACTGAAACAGGGAGGGAGAGACCCAGGTGGACATCTGGGGGAGGCAGGCCTGGGGACAGGAGAACAGCAGGCACAAAAGCCCTGAGGCGGAAGCAAGCCAGGCCAAGTAAGAATCAAGGGAAGGGAGGCAAAGAGCCCACATTCTGCAGGGATCCTTCAGGATGGACACCAGGGTCCAAGCCAAGGTGGGAGGTGAGGATGGGGGATAATCCAAAGCAGTGGGCACAGCGTCCTGCAGCCGGGGCAGCTTGGTGGGGCAAGGCTTGAAGATGAGAGACAGAACCTGAAAAAGTCAGGCCAAGGGACGCAGGTGCTGGGGTGGACACTGGGGAGCCTAGGAGAAAGGCTGGCAAGGGTCCAACCCGCTGATGAGCAGCCCTGCAGCCCAACCCTGGGCAACCCCACAGCTGGCATGCAAGACACAATTCACATGGCAAATGCCACCCCGCTGCCACATGGGGTTCCACAGAGAGATCCGGACAGCACGACCTTGAGGACTCTGTCCTCCATGAGTCCCTTGAAGGTCTGGACAGGGACAGTGGGGAGGACTGGTTGCAGGAGAGGCAAGAGGAGACAGTGCCCACGACAGCTGACTCAGCCTGTGCCAGCAGGCGGCCAGGAGGCTCCAGCTGGCCCTGACCCAGGTGATGGGCGGGGGACTCAGGGAAGGAGGGGGAGCCAGAGACTCTTCCCAGTGGGCTTCTGGTCCAGCCGCCATCCAAGGCACTCAGGTGCCCCTGCCCCTGCCCCTTGCCCAAACTGTCCATGTGAGCAGTCATTGCAAGCATGACCTAGGGGATGCCTGCCTACAGGGCAGTGGCTACTGCCCCTGGTGCGAGAGACCCCACCCCAATCCTCCCGGCCTCTCGGGGAGGAGCAAGGGCAGTGCACAGCCTTGAATGCTGCAACCAGGGTCGCTGCTGCCCACGCCCAGGACTCTCTCTGCTGCTCTCAGGAACACACTGCAGGGCAGAGCCTGTAGATGCCTGCCACCACTTGCTTGGGAACGCTCTCAGAGCTGGCCAGGGATGTCTTCAGGTGGGTCTGGCCAACCTCTCAGACTCCTCCGGGCATCAAAGGCTTCTCCAAGACTTCCGACCACGGTGTCACGAGAGCCTGCCTGCACCTGTTGAGTCACCAGGCAGGTGATCAGGGCAGGAGATGGACAAGAATGGCAGGGCAAAGCTGCAGCCTGGACAGGGGCCTCTGCACTCAGGCTCTGGCATCACTGTCCCCCCTCCAATAGGCCTCAGTGACCACCACCCAACCCCAACGAAGCCCAGCCTGACACGAACCTCACTACCAAATGTGTTTTTCCTCTGAGGTCCTCAGTTTTGTCTAGGAAAAGTCAAGGTGTCTGAGCACTCCCTCTTAGCTCCCAGGGGTGCGACCTGTGTCTTTCACAATTATGTCTTATTTTTACCTTGTGTATCTTAGCTCAGTTGGCAAACTGGATATTTATGCACCTCCATTTCACAACCCGTCCCCACCAATTATTCCTGCAAAACTAATATTTTACTTTAAAAACAAGGGGGTTAGAACGACTCAAGGGACCATTATGCAAACAAGTTAACAAGCCACAGTGTGGGCCTGGGGTGCCCCAGAAAGCAAGCAAGGCGGAAGAGAAGGAGACATTGCAGCTCCTTGCAGGGCCATCTGATTGGCCTGCGCTGCAAGGGCCCAGGGGTCCAGTTCCCAGAGATGGAAAGGCAGGTGGGTCACATCCCCCAACACAAGACAAAAGGCTCCAAGGGTAGCCTGTCACCGGGCTCTGGAGACACAAGAAGGGCTGCCTCATCAGGGCTGATGGTGCCCATCACTGGGGGTGGGTGGTGAGCACAGAAGGCTGGCAGCTGCCCAGCTCCAAGTCATCCACCACCGCCCTCAGCACCACTGCAAGTCTCAGCAGTTTCCAAGTCTATGCCACTGCTGCCTACCCACCCAGAAGACCTGAACTCGGGAACCCCCTCCAGCCTGAGCTGCAGACACACAGGGCAGCACCTCTGGCCACCCAGCCGGGAGGGTGCAGGAGCCGTGTCCCCTGCCTGGTGGCTGGTGCTCACAAGAAGCCCCTGCTTGGCCTCAGTGGGAACACTTGCCCCAAAGGAAGGTCATCCACAAGCTCCTGACACCTGCAGCACTGTCCTCGGGAAAAGCTGTCCCGCTTAGTGCCTCAAAGCTTTCCGGTCTTCATTTCTAAAATCGCTGACCTTTCTCTAAAGTGCTGGGGGATGCTCAAGAAATGGGACAGGTGGCTGAAGAGGCCAGAGAGAGATGAGTCCACGGAGGAAACGCAAGACACCAGGCTCAGGGCGCGTCACCCTCCGAATACCCATTTGTGAGCTGACTACCCCATGGGTTTAAGTCCTGCCCAGGTGAAGAGATGGGGAACAATTAAAAGTCCTCCTTCCACAAGTAAATGCCAAGTTAGGACTGTCAGGCTCCACCTAAGGCTCTGCAGGGTGGCTCTCCAGGGGCACCCTCCGCCCGTCCCTGTCCCCCAGCCCAGGGGGAGTTCCTCTGCAACCTCGCAACCTCGTATGCAGAGGCCTACTGCCCCCTACCCGGCATAAAGAGCTGTTCGGGTGCCAGAAGACCAGGCTTCGCCGTCACCCACGATGGTCAAACCTCCTGCCCGCAGCCCTGCCGGGCTGTGCCTGCCTTGAGAAAGGGGCTGGGCGGAGGGTCGCGTCTGAGCCGCCCCCCAGGCCCTGGCCCGCGCCCCTGGGGACACCGGGTGCAGAATTTTTAATTGACTTTTCCCCCAGAGCCTCATTATAAAGGGAAAGGCGAGAGGGCGAAGAACAGAGCTGAGCTCCCGGGAGGCAGCAAACCCAGCAGCGACCCCAAACTCGGGAGTTGCCACTCGGCTCGAGACTTGGTGCCAGCGCCGAGCGGGGCCCTGGAACGCACTGGCGGCCCGGCCACCCGGCGGGACCCGAGCCCAGCGCCCCCGCCCGGTCAGGCCGCCCCCCGCCGCGGCGCCCCAGCCCCCGACGAGCGAGCCGTTCCGGTCCCCGCCGCGCTGGCCGCCGGCTGCAGAGTGGGGGCTGGGACGGGGTGGAGGGGCGCGCGGGCAGCCGTCCGCACCCCACTCCCCGCTCGCCGCGGCGCCGGTCCCGCCGACCGTCCCCCTCCGCGGCCGCCCGGAAGCCCCACCGGGTCCCGGGGCCGCAGCACCCGCCGCCCCGCACCCCGCGCCGTCCCGGGCGCCCCCAGGCTGCCGCGCCGGCGACTCGGTCCCCGGGTCCCCGCTTACCCGGCTCCGGCTCCGCCGGCGAGGCCGAGCGCCAGGCGCCGCCGCAGCTCTTTGTGAGCCCGCGCCGAGCCCGCCGCGCACGGCGACTGCTAATGAGCCCGCGAAGCCGAGGGGCGGGCGCGCCCCGGACGCGGCGTGCAGCACGCAGCGGCGCCCGGCCCGGCTCCCGCGCCCGCTCGGCCTCCGGCGCCCCGGCCCTGCCCGCCCCGCGGCTCGGGCTCGGGCTCGGGCTCGGGCTCGGGCGCGCCGGCGGCGGAGACAAAGATGCTCCGGTGCGCGGCGCTGCGCCCCGGGCCCGGCGGGGAGGCGCGGGGCTCCTGCGGGGTGGCCCGGCGCGGGCGGCGCGGCCGAGCGCGCGGACTCTCGGGCGCCGAGCCGCAGGGGTCCGCTCCCCGCGGCGGAACAGGTGAAAGCCGCGCTCGGCGGCGCCCGTGCCCGCGCCCGCGCCCGCGCCCTGCCCCGAGCGCCGAGCTGCCCCCTGGCGGGCTCCCGAGAGCGCCGCGCCCGGGCCTGGCGACCGCGCCCTGCGCCGGGGCCCACGCGACTGCTCGCGGTGTCCTGGGCCAGCAGCCCAGGGGACCGTGGCCTCGGCGAGACCTTGTGGCAGGGAAGGCCTCCTGATCTTCCCCACCGCAGGTCCTCGGAGCCAGTGCAGACCGCTGGCTCTTCTGTCCAGCCCCTAGCAACCATGCCAGTGTCTGACACCCGCGCAGTCTTAACCCCACCCCAAGGCCTCACTCAGGGACCCTTCTGGTTCTCCTATAGGGAGAGGGCCCCTGACCTTGAACACCCCCGACACCGGCACCCATCCCTCCCAGGAGAGTCAGTCATCCACCCGCGGTGTGACTCATCAATCCCCCTCAAATCCCTGGAGGTCGGTTAGAGGCTGGGGTTACCTTTGACCCTCGTTCTCTACCTGACCTTTCAGTTCCAGAAGTCAGCCCGTGGAGGCGCATGGGGCCTTGTTTCTGCACACCAGGGCTCTGCAGTGCATTGCTCCCCAAAGCTCTATATTTGTTTCTTTGACAAGTTAGGGTGAAGCTCTGGTGCCAGAAGTTCCAAAGAGGGGCGCTGCGGAAGAAGACCTGGGCTGCGTGGGGTGGCCAGGCTCCTAGTCTGCTGCTACTCTGAGGCCCCTGCAGAGACCCTGAAAAGGGGCCGGGGAAAGCTGGATCTTGAGTAGGGCAGAGCAAGGATGGCTGGACACCCCTGAGGCCCTGGCCTGGCTCCCTGCCCTCTCCCAGCCTTCATCTCCTCTCCTGGGCTGATCCTGATGGAGCAGCCCTGTAGCCCAAGTGCCAAAGCCCCACAGAGGTAGAGCCCAGGGAGCAAACCGGCTGGAGCTGACACCCCATTCCCACCCCACCCCCAAGGGCGAGCCTATCTGCACTGTTTACTTTCCACCTACTTAAACATTCTGTTGACCCAACCAACAGAAAGCTCAGCTGATTCTGCCTTCTCTGGCCCAGGCTTTTCTGCAAATGCCAGTGACTAAAGAGACACAATTGGGAAGAATCGACTCACTAGCATTAAACACTAAATGTGGGTCCAAGGGCATGTGCTGTCCTGCGTTTCTCTAGCATGCCATATCCCATAGGAACGCACCTGCTGCGCCCAAGGATGACCCACCCAGCCCCATGAGTCTGCACACTGGACAGCTGGCCAGTCTGAGGCTGCCCCCTTCCACAGCTGCCCTTGAGCCCTTCCTCTGAGCAAGCTCTGCTCCAGGGGCAAGAGTGTCAGATGTCGCAGGGGTCGAAGGTTCAGGCTTCCCTCGGCCTCCCTCAAGGTTCCTTAGTCTGTTGGGCTAGAGTCAGCCCAGGACCAGAGTGGGGGAGGGTACTGGGGATTAAACTCAGGGTTTCTGTACTGAGCCACATCCCCAGCCCCCCCCCCTTTTTTTTCTTTTTATCTTGAGACAGGATCCCCAATTGCCCAGGCTAGGTACAAACTAACATCCTTAGCCTCCTGATGAGGTGGCAACATGCACCACCACCCCTGGCTGTCAGAAAATTTTTAAAGAATCTTGGAGTGGGGAAGGTCCTTTTCAGGATGCTTCAGAACTGAAAAGCAGTGGCTAAATTTTACTTCCCAGCACTGTCTGCCTGGAAATCATCTCCATACACACAGTCAACACAAACTAGGAAAAAATATTTGCAATGCATATCACAGTTAATTTCCCCAATGTATAGATTACATTGAGAAATACACAAGAAAAAAATGATCAGCTTGGGAAAAAAGCAGACAGTTCACAGGCAAGGAAATATGAATGACTTTTAAGCATCTGAAAAGACATCCTTCTTTAGTCATAATAAGGAACACAAGGCTGAGCATATAGCTTCATGGTTACAGCGCTAGCACATGCAGGTCCTGAGTTCCACCCCCGGCACCATGCACACACACAAAAGCTAGTTAAAATTAAACTACACTGCGATTTTCTACCAGAGACTGGGGATTTCAGTAAGGCAATACATTCCAGAGGAAGTGGGGAAGCTGACAGGCTGCCATAGAGCTTGTGGGAGTGCAGACTGATAAAATTTCTATAGAAGACAATTAGTTCACTTCTATCAAAATGACAAACGCACAAACCCTATGTTATGCAACATTTCGTTGCTGTAACAAATACCTGAAATACCCAGTTTATTAAGAGGAAGGATTTTATTTGGGCTCATAGTTTTGGAGGTTTTGATCCATCATTAGATGCTCCTGCGGTGATTAAAGTCTGCTACATCAGCTTGATCACCTCCTAGGGGATTCGTAAAACACACCCCTGGGTGTGTCTGGGTGGAGCATGATCTTGGTATGTATAGCTGGTCCCTCATCTCCTCTGCTCCAGCACATATGTCCATCATGATATTCTTGCCTTAGAGTTAGCCAACCATGGACTGAATCCTCAGAAGCAAAAGGGAACTTTTCCTCCTTTAAACTGTGTTCATTGTGTTTTTGGTCCCAGCCCTGGAGGAGTGACCAATAACATCCCATTGTTTTGAGGCTCTGGCAAGGCAGCAACCCGGTGTAGCCAGGCAGAGGCACCTGCTCACCTCATGGTGGACGGTAAGCAAAGGGAGGAGGAGGACAGGATTCCATAGTCCTCCAGTGGCCTGACTCACTGGGACCCAGATCCTAAGTTTCCACTGTTTCCCAATAACACCAAGCAGGGAACAGATCTTTAACACATGAGTCTTGGGTGTGGCGCATTTATCAAGCCCACACTTTTGACCGAAGAACCCTATTTCCAGGGATTTTTCTACATTTATAGCACATACATGGGAAATAGCCATGAGCAAAATGACTCCTATGTGTCACCATTTGTACAGTAAATGACCACAGACACCCTTGATGTCCACGGGTAGGAGATGGTTAAGCACCATGGCACGTCCAAACACTGGGATACTATGCAGCCCTAAAAGGAGGAGGTGTGGGAAGGAGTCACAGGGAGAGTGTTCCAGGATGAATTGCTAAGCAAAAGAACAAACAGCAGAAGATATGCGCCATGTGCTACCATGGGGGAGGGGCGAACTCAGACATGTTCTTACAGTCATCAGCCTCTCTGGGAGGACTGCAAGAAATTAAGAAAATGCTGGTTGCACATAGAAAGGAAATTCATGGCTCAGTCAGGAGTGACAAAAAAACTTTGCACTGATTATCCTTTTGGTTTTTGAAACAAAACCTTGTGATTTTTGCCAAGCTGAAACCAAACCTTTAACATATGGGCTATTAGGAGATGCTTGAAATCTCTGGACTTTTTTGCTGGCAGTAGTGGTGGTAGGATACCTCTGATCCAGGATCCTACGGAAGTCTTAAGCAGGCGCCTCTGTAAGTTTGTGTTTGTACCACATGCCTGTGCTATCTACTGCCACTCAGTGGTAAGATGTGTGAATTGCAGGTCTGTTGCCAAGACTATTCAGCACCACAGGCAGGGCCAGATTTCTTGCAAGCAGCTCTAACATGCAGCCAGAAACGAGCTGATCTGTTAGCACTTGCCATATTTTTTTTTTTTTTTGGAGGGTATTGAGGATTGGAACTCTCCCCCTCTGAGCTACATCCAGTCTCTTTTTTCTTTGTGATAGGTTCTCGCTAAACTGCCTAATCTCACCTTAAACTTGTGACCCTCCTGCTTTTCACCCTGCCAAGCAGCTGGGATCCAGGTATTCACCAGTGACACCAGCCTCACTGTTAACATTCTTAAAAAGTAACACATGACTCCCCTACATAGGACAGTAGAGTAATATTTTGGTTTATCAGCTAGGAAGAATGTTCCCTTATAAAACTTCCAGATGAAGAAATGCTGTTCATTCCATTCCCACACCAAGATGGACAGACAGCCCCTGTCTGGGAATGGCGGGGTGCCCCGTCAGTGAATTCCTGCCTGGCAGAGGCCTCCTGGGGTGTGACCTCTCCTCTTGATCCCAGTCCCCTGAGTTCCTCTTCCTTTTCTCTCCCTTTATCCTTGTGCAGTTGACCCCAAGCTCAGCTAGGGGCTAAGGGTCCTCCATTCCAGTCCTAGTTAAAGCACCAGCCAGTATTGGACCTCAGATTAATCATGGCCCCCGTGGTACAATGACCCCCTTTATTTAGATGGGAAAGTTGATCTTGAAAATGCCTGAGTCTGTTATGTTGAAAAAGCAATCTAGACCATGCGGTGGGAGTCCTTGATTCTCTTGCCTCAGGATTATTTTCATTAGCGTGTATTAATTGCACATGTCACTGGGGTTCAGTGCAATGTTTCAATACATGCATCAAATCCAGCTCCCTTTACCCATTTTTCCCCAACCTCTAGAAAGTGCCATTCTACACTCAGGCTGGGGTTTTTTTTTTTTTTTTTTCAACTTCTGGATTTAAGTCAGTGGGGGAAAATCACCAGCCAGATCATATTCTAATAGTTCCTTCCAAGTAATGCTTTATTTTGAAAGACACAAACACACATAGCATGAAAATGCCTCTGACAACCATGGACACAAAGCACATTTCTAAAAAGTAAATATGGACTCCTTGCCTGATTTCAAGATGCAAATTCTGCAAAATCAAAGCTTTACAGCAATAAATGAATATTATAAATAGTGGAAACCTCTGGCGCTCAGCACTCCAGATCCTGGCCTCAGGGTCACACAGGACAGACTGCAGTGTCCAGCACCCCAGG